TAGACTCAGGGTCTTAGTTTCCATTTTAACAAGAGGCTGCAAGTTGTGGAGAAGTGATGAAACAAAAGAAAGGGGTTGCTTGGGCTTCTAGGGCTGATAAGGTACGGGGAAAGTGACTACGTGGGGAGAGCTAGGGGAAGTCGACTGCCATTCAGTAAGACTTGTTGATGCAGATTCACCTTGGTGCTGGCTCTGCCTCCGATGATAAGGGTCCCTCTCCTCATCCTGGTGTGGAAGAGGGGGAAACTTTACACCCTTCTTTTAAGCAGCAAGAGGGAGGGCAGAGGGAACCAGCAGTTAGTGTAATGGCTATGTCGCTGGACTCCCACATAGTCGACCGCGGTTTGACTACATCCTGGACCCGCGTCCTGGACCCGGTGGCTTAAAACTCATGCCGGGCATGTGTGTGTGCGTGCCCAAGATCCCGAGAGGAGAATGGAGGAGAAGGGATTGTGGAGTGACAATCCCCCCTGGAGGGATGATTTCTCACTTTCTGTCTCTATGTCTCTGTCTGTCTGGCAAGCGCACGCGCCCTATAGCGAAAACTTCTCCAAAAAAATAAAAGAGGGAGGGCATAGAACCCTGCTTAGATCGTCTGCTGCTTCTCAGCTGCCTTGGCGGCAAAATAATCAGTATGTCGGTGTGGCATGTGTTAATCCCCTTCAGAGCCCTAGCCAAGCCCTGAACTAAGAAGGAGTTGCACTGCCTGATAGAATACTTAGTGATTTTACAGAGTCTTTTAAAATCATTGATTTCAGCACAAACTGCACTTGATTCTTGGTCTGGGCCCTCCTCTGTAGTTCTGTCTCAAAGGCTTGCACTGAGACCCCAAGTTTCCTCACCTATGAAGTAGTCCCTAATGTAGGAGACTAAGGCTGATCCCACGGAGGGAACTCACACACAGCATCTGGGCAGAGCATTTTGAAATGTGGAAGAACACATGCTACTGAGCTTTACCGACCTGTGGGACTCCTCCTGAGTGCCATCGTGTTGTTTTTACGGGGTACCCTTGTACCAGATCCCCTGCCCTGTGTTTATTCTGCTAAGAGTAGATTTACTAAAATAAATTACATTAATAGCGGTTTCAAAGAAATCCAGTAGAGAGCAGAACATTCTTCAGTCTCTCTCATGACGGATGGCAGTGTGCAGTGTTTACAAATGCGTCGTGGCGCCACCTTGGGGATGCAGTGGTAACACACTGCTTCAGTGCAGCTGCATCCATATGGGAGAACAGGGGTGGGTTCCCCGTTCCACCTGTACACAGTGGGCATATGGGTGTGTGATCCTTGCTGGTATGGGGAGGAATGGTAGCATAAACCCTGTGGAGAGTGTTCGCCTCTCTCTGTATCTCATTCTCAGGAAAGGAAGAAATTTAAAAAAAAAAAAAAAATCCTCCAGTGTGTTAGGAAAAACAAATGTCCTGCCAGTCTCAGCGCTGTGCATAGATGCTAACAGCTCCCTCTGTAAATGAGAGCAGCTGTAATAAAGTATTGTGGACAGTACCCTCAACAAAATAAAACCTGAATCGCAGGGATTATGTTATTAAGATCCTTACTGTGGCATGGGACCATAGATGGTGTAATAGTTACAATGCTGGACTCCCACATAGTGGACTATGGTTCGAGTTCCAGACCCGGAGGCTTAATACTCAGTCCAGGTACATATGCTATGCATGCCCAAGATCCCTAGAGGAGAATAGAGAAGAAAGGATTGTGGCATGGCCATCTCGCCTGGGAGTGAGTTCTCGCTTTCTGTTTCTCTGCACCTCTCTATCTCTCTGGTGAGCACACATGCCCTATAGCAAAAAATCTCTCTCAAAAAAAATTCTTACTAGCATACTGGAAATTAACAAAATGAGTTAGGAGAGGGTATTGCCAAGGAAATGAGGAAACAGTGAAGTCTGCAGGGATGAGCTGAGAGCAGAGGGGTGCTGAGAATCTCAGCCTGTCTGGGCAAGGCTTCCTTGCTGAGGAGCTGCAGGGATGGACTGTCTCCAAAGCAAGTGTGAGGCATAGTGATGCTGATATTCGTGCAGGAAGGAGCCCAGGTGGGTCCTAAGCAGGGATCCCTGGAGAACTCTGACTTTAAACGTCCTGCCCTTCTGTGCCACTACTGTTCCCAGGGCTGAAGGCACAAACACGGTGTGAAACACGCTCTCCCATGCCCTCTGCATGGCACACATCCTGCCCTACTGATAGACCAGCCCCGGGGTTCAATGTGGTGGCCAGAATGCACCCAGGCTGTCACACCGTTCCTCTGCTGGCCTGTTTCTCCGTTTAATGAGTGGAAGAGCAATGACATCTGATTGCAGCCTCCATCTCTGCTGTGCTCTGGCCTTGGGGATGTGACTGTGGGGCAGGTGACATGCCTGCTGCATCGAGCTCAGGGTACAGCACTCGGCGTGAGGGCTCGGCCGTGTCCCACGGATTCCGTCTGCACCAGCCTTCCGTGGCCATGACCTTGGTGGCTCTACTCAGGACTCGTTTTCCACCCCTCACTGACCTCGAACGCCATGTCATTTGGCTCTTGAGTCCTCACCCTGTGGGGCCACTGTGGCTGGCTGGAAAGTGTGACAGCCACATTACACGAAGCACACACTGGCAGGGCTTGAGCAACTCAGGGACACTTTGTAAAGATGTTATAACACATGTGCTTTTCTGTTCTCTTTTCCTCTTCTCATCTTGCCATGCCTTCCCCGATTCTTAGGGACCAGATAAAGAGGTTCAAGATTGTTTCTTTTATCAACCAAGTTTAGATGGGTCACTCCAGTCTGTCTTTTTTAAAATTGCCATTTGGAAATCTATTTTAGTAGATAATTCTTACGTAAACTTTTATTAAACGTGTAGCAATTATCCGTATGTTTGAGAAAACCCAGTGAAATTTGTTTTTATGTGTAATAACTATCACATGGAGAGAAATCAGGCATCCGAGAGTCGAAAACACACAGACGTCTCCCACCATGGCACAGTGGTCATCGCTCTCTTTCAAGCTCATCTTTGATAACGGCATAATGGAATATTTCTCTTTAGATCCCGGCGTGAGTTTTAAGCCACCGACCGGGTCCGGGACACAAACTGCGGTCGACTATGTGAGTTACACACATGCCTGGTGAGAGTTTTAAGCCACCGGGTCCGAGACACGAACCGCGGTCGACTACGTGGGAGTCCAGTGACATAGCCATTACACTAACTGTTGGTTCCCTGAGAGGGAAATTTTTTAAAGGAAAGTTGCAAAACTTCTTTACAGCAGTGATTACATCATCAGAAGATTCCAGAAGGAAAGTTAAATCTGGGAGACAAGACAGAAACTGAGAGGACCGACCACTCTCCTATAGGTGGAGATTGTCTCTTTTTTTAATCAGCTGTGAACAATTAGGGTTTGATGATGATGATAGACAGACATAAAAACATATGCCATGAGCTAAAAGACTGCTCCTGATACTGTGAGATCAGAATTGGATTTGCTCGAAGCTATCAAAACTTACTCTCAGGATGCCTCCATTCTACTCCCCTTCCAAAGTGTCATGCCTAATTTTGTATTCCTCATTTTAGTTGCTTTGTGTTTGTGTGTTTTGTTTTGATTTTCTACTACAAGAAGGTTCTTGATTTTCTCAGAGAGTCCTCCCAAATAAAAATAAGCAATAGCCTTACAATATGTGGATCCACTCCTATATGGAACTGTGAGTCTCTAAGAAAAAGAACTTTTTTTCCTAAAAGAATCTGTTGATTCCTAGCAAGTGTGGCAGCTCTGAGGCCAAGGCCTCGGAACCCTGTGAGCAGATCCAACTTAGGTGCTTCCTGGGGGAGCAGGGAGAGCAAATGACTACTCAGGAAGCATGTGAATGTCCCAACAGAAATTTGTAAATATTTACATAACTTCTTTTGCATTTAGCAGCTACGGTAGTCTTTTGGTTCTATAGCACTGTTAATTCAGTTTGGGTAATCTTGTGACTCTGAATTCATAAGTCACCCTTCAGTTTGAGATAAGGCAAGTTCATCTTTCAGAGTTTCCTGCTTGCCATTATGAGTGAAACCAAGTATGGTGACCTCATTCATGGATCTTGAGTGAGTCAAAACTCACAGTTCACACAACTCATAGTTTAACAACAACAATAACAACAACAACAACAACAAAACATATATATATACACACACATAGATATATATTTTCAAATAGCATATATGTTATATGTATTATTAATAATATATTATGTTATACATATTATATAATGTGTCATAGAGTAATATATTATAATGTAATAAATTATATAATATTACATATTATTATATTTTATCTATTATTCCCAAAGAGTATCATTGTAAAGGTTTCTTTTTCATGTATCTAATGTGTCTGAGCCAAATTTAATTCATCTACCCTACCATGGTCATTCCTAATCATGGCGCACATAGAAAGTTTACAAGATAGCAGCTAAGACAGAACTTGCCATTATAGTATGCATGTTTCCTTTTCATTGCTGAGGTGAGTTCAACTGTTTAGGTTTCTGAGTACTAAGAACTTTAAAATTGTGCTATTGGGGCGAGCAGATGGCATGGTGGTTAAGGCACTAGACACCAACAGTCCTAGAACTGGTGACTTACTTTCTCACTTTGTGTGTGTGTGTGTGTGTCTGGTGAGTGCATGGGACCTATAGCAAATTTTTAAAATAATAACAATAAATAAAATTAAATAATTTTTTAATTGTGCTATTAGTTGCATTTATCATTAATTAATGACCTTAACTTTTCACTTACAATTTTTTGTTGGAGGGGGACTTTCTATAGTGGCAAGAGTGTCTTACAACTTGATTTGAGTGATGGTAACACAGGTGCACATGTTTTTCATCCCACCAAACATAAGATATGTAAGGTAAACTTTCACAAAGAAAAAACAAATTGTGTGCTACCTGCTAAAAAGAAATTGTTGCAGTTTCTCTATACTTTTAACTTTTTGAAAGATTGTAACCCATGTGTTTTCTCGTTTGCCACTCTTACACGCTTCAGGAATTCTTTGATCATGTGAAAAAGCTCTGGGATGACGAAGGAGTGAAGGCATGCTTTGAGAGATCCAACGAATACCAGCTGATCGACTGTGCACAGTAGTAAGTCGGTCCCTCTCCAAGTTACAGATCTCTTTGAAGAGCATGGTGGCATTCGTGATTATGCAGCCTTCACAGTATTACTGGAGTTTCTTGAATGCAAGGAACAATTCGAGTTTTATTATAGAAATCAACTTTTCAAATGCGATATGTTCAGTGCATCAGCAACTGAAAGTCTAAGAGGAATCAGTGTTTTAGGGAAAAAAACAGAAACAGTTTCATTTATGTTGTCCTGTTTGTTGTTTTCAGTTCTATTCTTGCTTTCTATTGGGTCATCAGAAAAGTCATGACACATTTTTGTGTAGAAAATATACATCATGACTTTCCAACGACCCAATATCGGTAAATTATAATATACTTGAATACTCACTATTATATTTTAATTTAGTAGTAGGGACTCTTTAAGTAAATTTTAAAATAGCGTCAGTATTTGCAATCAATGCCAGGCTCATATTTAAAGTAACACAATCTTCCTATAGGTATTTGAGAGGTCTTCAAAAAGTTAATAGAAAATGCATATTAAAAAGGCCATGCATAGATTTCCATTTTTTTGCACCAAGATTAATTTGTACTTTTAGTTCTAATTTTCTATTAACTCTTTGAAGTCTCTCACAGACTAGAACCTTGAATATATATGGCAATTAATATAATAAGTAAATAGTTGATGAAAAAATCGTAAGGAAAAGAAATAAGAAAAGGACATTGACACCAGCATTGGCACATTTTTTTTCCCTGAAACATTTTCCTATTTTCTTTTGCTATTTTAGAAACATTCTATTACTGTTAGAGAATAATGGTCCTTACAAAAATGTTAACTAATCAAGAAGTTCTGTAGAACTATGTTTTATATAACTCTTTGGACAGCAAGAAATGAGCAAGTTTACATTTGAGGTCTATAAACTCTAAAAATTTATAATTTGTGGAAGAGATTCCATAAGTATGAAATCTGAGAATTTACAACATGTGGAACCAGCCTATGGAGCAACATTGTGAATATTGATTATAAGTAGTTAGTGGTTGTTTTGTTACCCTGATCCCTCCCTCACTCCATTACGAGTTCAGTCACCATTACTGATGTGATGGGTGGGCATGGAGCCTTGGTGAAGCCTGGCTTGCCAAGCTCTAAGAGGGCTGGTGGCAAGGTCCTGGGGAAGGCATGTTCGGTGTGGCTGGGTGAGTGGCTGTAACAAATTAAGAACTCAGTGGGGACCAGAACGTGAATCTTTTTCAAATGCAGTAAACAGCCATCAGCTCATGAGGAGGATGTCAGGGTCCCTCTGGGCAGAGACCTCATGGAGGACTCAGGTCAGGGAGGTGAGCACTGGGCACCAAAAGGCAGAACCAGGTGGTAAATTATTTGAGGGAGGTTGGGGAGAGGGGCCTGAGATGGCACAGGTGGATCATGGTAGCATGTATTGAGCTGGGGAAGCCTGGGAGGATAGAGAAGATAGTAGGCTCTGATTTGGAAAAGTGAAGTTTGAGATGTCAAAGGCATGTCCCAGTAGCAACATCAGGCAGGCAGTTTGTTGCAGGGGCCTAGAGCTCCAAGGAGAAGCTGGTGCTGTCAGTGTGCCGGGTACCAGTTATGGGTTGGACACAGAGCCCCGGGACTACAGGAACTCACTGAGAGCGACTGCAGAGAGGAGAGGGCTCAGGCCTGAGGAAGCCAGAAGTTGACTTCGCAAGGGCACACCTTGCACAAAGCGTGAATGAGGTGGGGAATAGGAGTCCCCCAGGGTGAAGAGAAGTCTTCCAGGTTAGAGAAGGAACAGCAGAAAGAGGAGGAGGAACTAGCTGGCCCATCTTCAGGCCATGAGCATTTGAACACAGCATAGCGGGATGTAACAAAAACATTAGGATGAAGCTGCTTCGAACACCCTCAAATGACCTCTGAAAGCTTTATCACTTTAGCATATACCACGGTATATGCTAAAGAAACTATTTGCCAGTGAAAATTTTTAATTAACTAGAAGAATATTTGATATGTCTTGCTTTCTGCCACACTTAACAATTCCTTTAAGAGTTAAGAGTTACCTTAAATCAAGTTTCTTTTTCTTTCCTTTTTTTTTTTTTTTTTTTTTTTTTTTTGAGACAGAGAGAGAGATTTTTGCTATAGGACATGTGGACATGTGCACTCTCCAGAGGGACAAAAAGCTAGAAATTACTCCCCAAGGGGATGGCCATGCAGCAATCTTTTCTCCATTTTCCAGTCAGCATTTTGGATATGCACACACATGTGCCTGGCCTGCGTTTCAAGTTACCAGGTCTGGGACTCAAACCATGGTCGGTCATGATGTAGGAGTCCAGCACCTTAACCACTATGCTACCTACTGGCCCTTTCATCACATTTTTAAGTTGGCTGGGCCCTTTAGTTTACATGTGTGAACAGATTCCCATGGTTACTCTCCAGCCACTTCGCGTATGCACTCATTTTCATTCCACAGCTGGATCACTGACACCACAAAAGCCAGGCTGAGCTGGACGTGCATGTGGCAGTGTGCAAAGGCTCCCGTAGTTTCAGAGTTCACCAGAGGCTTCCTGTGTACTGCTGGGCCTTTTCCCTTCCCTTCTTTTTTCTTTTCCTTTGGAGAGAAGTTTTTGCTATAGGGCATATGTGCTCACCAGAAAGACAGAGAGAGACAGAGAGATAGAAAGCAGGAAAATCCCCCTGGAGGGGGGATGGCCATGCCACAATCCCTTCTTCTCCATTCTCTTCCTGGGATCTTGGGCACACACATGCGCCTGGTGTGAGTTTAAGCCACTGGGTCCGGGACTCGAACCACAGTCAACTACATGGAAGTTCAGCGACAGAGCCATTATGCCAACTACTGGTCTCCCTCCCTTCCCTTCTTATTCTCACTTGCTCTTTCTCTAGCATTTCAGTTCACAGTCATCTAAAAGCGATGGCAAAATTATATGTTAAAACACAGAGTTTTAGAGGTGGGAAGGAGGTACCAGGACAAGGTTAGCAATTAGAATCTCTAGCACAGCTCATGTTAATATTAAAATTCCTACACATTTGCATTTGAAGCCGATATGGAATATGTGTTTTATCATCATTTTCCAGTATTTCTTAAGCAAGACTGGCCTTAGGAAGCACCATGGTGCTGCTCACTGTCTCATCAGGAATTTCTTTTTCTAAGAGAGAGGAAAAAAGGAACAATTAATTCTTGTATTACCATAGTGATAGAATTAATTATTTGACTTAAAATAGAATATGCAAAAATAAATCTTGGAAACAGAAGTAGTATGAGCTTGACATCAAGCAGATCAGGACTTGGATCCTAGCCCTGCCCTGAGCTACCGTGTGAGATTTTGGGTAAATTAATGGGAAAAATCACTAGACCAGTTCCCACATGGTTGTTGTAGGACTGATTATATTGACAGCCAGAATCTTCAGGGTAGTGCTGGATAAACGTTACATACCGCCAAGATTGTGACGAATGAAGAAACAAAGTCTCAGAAAGATAAACTAAGGCAGCTACGAGAGTAGTTTCCTCAAACAGACCAGACTTCATAGCTGAAATCTACCTCTTTCATTTCTGTCCTTTCACATTACAGAGAGCCATGGATAAAAACGGCCTTGTGGGGGGCCATCAGATGCTGTAGCGGCTATGGTGCTGGACTCCCACATGGTCAACTGCGGTTTACATCTCAGACCTGATGGCTTGCTGTCTGTCTCTCTCTCTCTCTCTCTCTCTCTCTCTCTCTCTCCCCTCCCCCCTCTCTATTTCTGGTGAGCACATATGCCCTATAGCAAACTTAAAATAATAATTTTTAAATGATTAATTAATTAATTAATTAATTAATTGGGGAAAAACAAAATGAAACAAACTGCCTGTGAGCAAGGCTTCAAGGTCTCAGGCCAAGAGGCCCTTTCCAGGTTTCCTGGCTGTCTTAATCCTGGACCTGGCAGAATTATAGAAACTTGTTCCTCCTTAAGACCTCGCTATCCTAAGTTAATCATAGCTTCTCCAATTTCACTTGTTTTATCCATTTTAATACACATGGGGATCACGTTGGATTGATAACCTTTGTCTCTTAATAACCATCGTGTTGCTTTCTCTACACTCAGATTCTGGGACTGAGAGACAGGAGTTTCAGAGACAAGTAACATTTCAATCAGTTTGTTAGACTAACCCCTGGCTGCCAGATTATTTTTTTAAGTTACCAAGTAAGATTAGAAAAATAGAAGCTGTTTCATTTCCCACGCCTATCCCTTCATAAAAGAAAGGACATTTCAAGAGCACACCAGCAGAGGGGTGTGATCTCAGAGTGCAGCCCTTGGACCACAAGCTGCCTGTATCTTGTCCAGGCCACTAGGTTTCTGGATTTTTTTTATTCATGATAAAGTAGTGAGAGAAGGAGATGAACACCCTCCACAGGAGCTGGTCACCCCGCAAACCAGGGTCACCATGTAGAATCTGGCTTCTTTTTAGCAGTGTATCACCACTGTGCCACAGAGCTGGCCCGCCACAGGGTTTTGAATTCCTCAGAGACTCCATCATCCATCTTTGAATGCTCTTAAGGGCGTGTTCTTGCTACGGTCTGTGCTCAGTAAGTGCTGCCAAAATACGCTAACCAGTCAAACAAGAGCCCGTTTTCAGTGTGGTGCCAGCAGGAAAAGCTGAGCCTGGTCTCTGGAAGCCCATACCCTCACCCCGGGCTCTCTCCACGGGGCCTGCTCTCCATCCCCTGCACAGTCACCGTATTTTGATGACTGTCTTTTCTCTCTCATCTAAATTGCTCTTGGAAAAGATCTGACTTATATCTTGTATGACTGTAAGTCACTGTATTGCCTTGCTCAACACTATCATATTTTGAACTTTAATGCTTGCCATAAGAGAAGAATTCTAAGATGTGTTAAAGTTATCTCTTCCATGGCAGAAATTACAGGAATATTTTTGGGAAAAGAAGCTTCTCAATGATCTGGAAATTCTGTCAGGGTGTTGAGAGAGACTAAGCTGCCAATGAAGAATCAGGGACTGGTCCATAGCACGAGG